ATCACCTCTAGATAAATATGCTATGTGCAGATCAAAAACAGGAGGTTCAAAATATAGTTCTGAATTTATAGTAGCTAAACTCTAATAATAGATTTTCATTTAAACTGTTGAGAGAAATGCTGAACTACAAATATCCTGGCTTGTGTCAACTAAGCCCTCACATGTTGTTATTACGACTTCACCTCATGTCGCTGTTATTTCCTCTGCGACACTACACGGGTTTCTCCTTTAGCGGCTACGTCAGAGGGTTGTGCATAAAACCAGGCATGTGCAGCTGCCTGCTGTGGCGATCCTTGTGAAGTAGCTTTGTTTTACACTAAGTGGTTTTTGTAAATTTGCCTCTAATACAGCAACAATTTGGGTTCCTTCATGTTTATTTATAAATGAATGAAGTGAATAACTGTCACACACTTCCCCAACTGTTCATTCTCACTTGATCGTGCATCAGTGCCAAGCAATTACCACATGCATGAAAGACGAAATGTCTCATGTATGATGACATGATATCACAACAAGCATGATGATATCACACAGGAAAGCTACAAAGAGGAAGACCGCTTTGCGGTAACTTACACAAAAACACTGAAGAAGACTCAGATTAAATCGACAGCCTGAAAATTAACCAAAGTTTTAGAAAATGTGTTTGAGCAGCAGATAGATCCCATCGAAACTTTATTAAAATGAGTAAAAAGAACACTAGATTATTCCAAAGGAAAATCATTAGCCATCCCAAAGCCATCTGTCAAGTCCTGATTTTAACACTAAAGAAACCAAAGCTAGGAGATAATCAAAAGTAACAAATTTAGTAGTAAATGTAGGTAAAAAGCTGACTTCATATGCTATTACTTGTTCTGAGCAGCTACCTGTCCCAACACTTGTTTCTGTTCCTCTCCTGTATGCCACGGACACATTCAACCAGAGCAGGTTTACTATTGAAACTATGATCATTTACATGATAGTGAAGTTCAGATTTTGTAGTATAGAATTAATTTGGTTAAATTTCTCATCTCTGGTACTTATAAAGTTTGAAGTGGGCCTGTAAATGTGGACGTCATAATTAAACAATCATCTGATTCTGAAGGGGTCAGATGGGATTACCTCCTGGTTCTTCCTGATGCATATTTATCATAAATGTGCTTTCAGTTTGATTATGTCCACTCAGATGATAACATGGATAAACCTGGGAGCATAAAGTCATCTTCATAGCCTCTTCAAGCCTCCTGTGCGCTGGCGACAGATAGAGCTCGCTTTGTGGCCTTTGCTTATCATTTTCTTCTCCTGCAGAGGTTCAGTATGTGCTGCCGTCTCTATGCATCACTGTGACAGGCTTTGCCCACTGCCTTGACCAAACAGATGAAACAAGCTACTCTGACTTCTGGTTTAAAACCTTTTAAAAAAAAAGTGTTAATTTCAGTCCAACATGTGTGAAGTCATTCCTTCGTCTCTGTTACAGCAGTAGGAAGCGCATGGCACTGTGGTGAACTCGTGCACTAGAAAATCCTGTAATCACTAGCAGTATAAAAGAAGCCATAGATAATCTATTATAGCCATACTAGTGATAAAGTATCTGTATTTTGAATTTAGTGACTCATATTTAGTGAGCTCTACTGATATCAAGGCAATAAAAAATAAAAAGAGGAGGAAAAAGCCCTGATTTTGTTCATGTGCTCCTAGAAATCCTGGAATTTGCCTGCAGCTGGTGACGAGCTGGGGTTCAGATGAGGCCTGGGGCTTTAAAGTGTAACTTAACACTAAATCCATCGTTTGATCAGCAGCATTTCATATTCAGTCATGTTTACTGTACAGGTCACTGATCCGGTTTCAGAGAGATATTGACGGCCTAAGCACGAGACATCCATGAATATTGTTTTCTGGGCTAAATCTGGTCAGTGTGTTACAGGCTTAAAAAGACTGACATCCAATAAAGTGAAAGATGAAATGTCTTTTTTGGCTATTACAAAGACTTGAATTCATAGTCACAGTTACTGAGGCCAAAATCCAGTCGAATTAGGTTCAGAAGTGAGCAGCAGATTACTCTAGCAAGCTTTCAAAACTGCATACAAGCCATTAATTTGAGCAACTCGTTGACAAAATTAGAAGTTTACCCAAAGGGTGAATGGGATTTTCTCCTGATTTGTTTTTTTTTTTCAATAAGGAAAGTCAAAGTTACAACTTCAAACCTTCAGAGCTTCTTTATCACATTTGTATTGTAAAAAAAACCAGATAATTACAAAGATACTTATTATGACACACTGAAGGGGCTTTGTGTCATGTTCAAGACTTGAGTCAGGACCTAAATGCGGCTTGCTCACCTGCTCAACCAGGTGAGCCGTAATGTGCCAAAGTGGAACTCTACTGGTGACAGCACCAGAATAAAAATTATCCAGGATTGGGAGGAAAAAGGGTTTATTTCACTGATTCTAGGCATCTTTTTAACAACTCAAGAGTTCCTATTTTACCTTACATTCACACGTGTGGTGCAGTAGTTAGAACTGTCACCTTATAGGCTGGGTTTTAAATTCAGGGTCAGTAGTTGTGCATTTCCCTGTTCATCCTGTATCTGTGGACGCCAAGTGCGAGCCCTGCAACCCTGACCTGGGTAGGAAAAGAAAGATGGCTGGATGAATTCACATGCTGGGACATAAAGACTTCTAAAAAAGGCAGCTTTCCACCTTTCACATCTCAGTGCTGCTCAAGTTTTGTTTTGTTTTTTTAACTGGAGTTAAAGCCCCCAATAAAGAAAAATCTGCATCACTGCATCAACTTGGCACTGGAGGGCCTGCTTTCCCTCTCTCAAATATTGTTTTGCAGTTATTTAACCATAGCACACACCATTTTGATCATATAAAGGGATGTATTCAGGGTGTTATGTTGCTCTTTAACAGCTCTGAAGGCCACCTCTGAGCAGGACACTGAACGCTGCACTTGCTGTCAGCTAATTTAAGAAACCATAGCAGGGCAGTCAGGTGGTTTAACTGTTGTAGCACTTTAAGTTTATGCTGCTGAATATTACATGTTACTTCTGTGTCAGTACTGTATGTATTTATGTACTCTATGTATGTACGTGAATCCTGACTGGGAATGTCAGTGTGTACAGATGTACTCTATAACGATATGCATATCATCTGTGTTTTAATGTACTCTTTGTTGTCAATAAATACAAACAGAACATTACAGTTAAAACTTGGTAAAAAATGAACTTACTGACATCAGTTTACAGGCAGGTACCAAACATCAGCAGGTTTAAAGGCATTTAGTGTAAATAATGTGGGGTCACCACTCTCATCACTTAACAACAGAAACCTTCACAGCAGGGATGTCAAACTTCTCCCTTCTGTCAGCGTTACAAATTTCACACATGGACCAGATTGGAGTCTTTGCTGAGCCAATTCTGGCCCCCGGGCCTTATATTTGACAACCGTGCTTTACAGAGAGCAGTGACCAAACCTGAGTGTTTCAATCACATTTAGTGCTTATTTTTGTCTTTTATTCAACTTTAAAAAAAAAAAAAACAAACAACTTATGTGCCACTTGTACACTGATATTTTAAACACCACCTAACTTCAAGGCAAGAGAGCTCAGTTTGACATTCAGAAAACACTTAACATGGATCTGCTTTTCCTTCTCTTCCTCTTTCTGACTGAAGAGTCAAACATAACTGAGAGCCAAAAGCTGAGATTTCAGACTGCTCTTAATGCTCAGATTCAAACTTTTCTTCTGTTCTTTGTATATCCCTAATATACACTCAACAAAAATATAAACGCAACACCTTTGTTACTGCTCCCATTCCCCATGGGATGGACGTAGAGACCTAAAATTCATTCCAGATACACAATATAACCATCCCTCCCAAACAGTGGTCACAAATCTGTCCAAA